GTTTTCACAATAATAATATCCACATGTATCACTCTGCACCCGCATCTGTATCTCTCTGCACAACCGACACAATAACAATTTCTATCTGTATCACTCTGCACTACCCACACAATAACAATATCTATCTGTATCGCTCCGTACCCAACACAATAATAATATTCATCTGTATCGCTCTGCACCCGACACAATAATAATATCCATTTGTATCGCTATACACCCAACACAATAATAATATTCATATGTATCGTTCCACACTCGACAATAATAATAATATCAATCATAATCGTGCGGCAAAAATTGTATGCCAGCACCCAAATAATCCACCAACAAGTCCACAAGTGCCATAATTATCACAAAATAATAATGCCAAATTTAATCAAAGATATAAGCTCACAATTTATAAAGAAGGTGTGCAAGGACATAGCAATACTAAAAATACGGATGGGTTTCAACATATAAAGTATGACTATGACTAAATCAATTATAACGATCATCTTCAGGTGGTCACAAAGTGATTAAGCATGTTTCATATAAAACACTTTCTCAAATTAAGGCATATTAATGCCTTAAGGTCTAATCCGGTCATAAGCCACACATAGCACCTGTGTACACACTCGCCAGCTCGTGTATATGTCATTTTTCACATAACAAGAATAAATAATTAAGGCCAAATCATAAGGGGTATTCCCTCACACAAGATTAGGCAAGATACTTACCTCAAACAATCCAATTCAATACTCCAAAAATGCCTTTCCTTTAAAAATCACCTCCGTTCGGCTCAAATCTAGCAAATAATAACTAAATAACATCAAAAAATGCTAAAGGAGTCGATTCTAAATAATAATGTCTCAATCTTTACCCAATTTCTGAAAAGTCAACAAAAGTCACCCCAGGCCCACATGATCAAAACCCGAGTCGAGGAGTAGATTCTGACTACCCATAACCCCACAAGTCCAAGTATGTGATTAGTTTTTAAAACCAAGTCCAAATCGACTCTCAAATCCTAAATTTTTATTCTTTCAAAACATAGTCAAAATCCCCAAAATTTTCTTTCAAATTTATGATTTTGGTGTAAATATCTATAAGAAATCAAGATAAAATATCAAAATCGAGTGAAAATCACTTACCTAATAGCTTTGTGTGAAAATCCTCTTCAAAAGTCTCCCCTCTCCAAGCCTAGGGATCAAAAATATAATAAAATGGTCTAAGTCCCAAAATACTCAGCTATTAACTAGCTATAGATGTTGCATTTACGACCAGAGGTTCGCAAATGTGACACAGGGATCGCAAATGCGAACCAAGCCTGCCCAGCGGATGTCGCAAATACAACCCTATACTTTGCAATTGTGAATAACCCTGTAGCCTTCCAATGTTGTAATTGTGACAAAATACCCCATAAATGCAAGGTCCACCACAAGCAGCCTAGCATCACAAATGCGAGAAGCTGCCACTAATGCAGTCCTTCGCAAATGCGAGCAGACCCTTGTAATTGCGAGGTCTACAGCATTGATAAGTTGGTAATTTACCAACTTATCTTGTCTTTAATCATAGATTTTTGCTATGTTCGATTGATAAAGTAGTATGTTTAATGTCGTTTACTTCTACTTTACAGGTTTTATGTTATTTAGAAGTGATCGGGAAGAAACCAAGCAAAAAGAAGTCAAAAAAGGGCTCAAAAGCAGAAATCTGAAAATTGGCCACAAGGGTCGCAAATGCGAGCAGGAGCTCGCAATTGTGAAGTCAACTAAGTTAAACAATTATTGCAAATGCAAAATGAGGGCCGCAAATGCGAAGTCAAACTAGACAGTCAACCTTCGGAAATGCGAAGTCTATCATCGCAAATGCGAAACCAAGTGCACAGTGCCTAGTTCGCAATTGCGAACATACAGATTGCAAATGCGATGTTCAACAGCGATGTCAAGGTTTGCAATTGCTAACTAATGTTCGCAATTGCGAATGTCGCGCTTCAGTTCTCGGAACTTATGCCATTTCACATTTTCTTCATTCCAAACCAACAAATACACGACCTAGCTTATTGGAAACAGATCTTTGGCCAATCTCTGAATATTGTTGACATCTCTTGACTATAGAACACAAGTTTTGGAGCTAGGGTTCTTGCACACACACTTGGGTCTTGAAGATTTGAAACTTTTGGTTGAGAAGTTCTTACTCATTTATACTCATTTCTTCATTTTCTTGCTTTGTATTGAATACCTAAGTGTGTAGTAGTTTTTCCAACACTTGAATCTTGTTTATAGGAATATTCATATTTAAAGTGTGGATTAAATATCTTGTTGTGCTTATATATTGAATGATTTTTATTTATATTGAAGTGAGTTATTATTTCTTTAGTTATTCTTGTTTTTTAATGTTTTCATAGGGATTAGCTAACCCTAGAACTCGCCCATTTACTTCGAATTAATTTTGGAAAAGATAATTTGGGATTGAGAAAGATTAATTAACAAGAACTTGAGGCATTAACCCTCACTTTATGGATTCTACCTATGGATAGGATTGAACTACTTGTAGTCATATTCGGGTGTGCTTAATCTCTTAAATGTTTTAGGGATAATTTAATTAGGAAATCTTGTTAGTCTTCGGAAGAAGCTAATAAAGAATTATTACCCAAGGCTAATTAATATAAACTCGCTCATATTTATAAAATCGTGAAATACATTGGATCGTTACTTGAGTGTAATTCCCAATGCCCCCATGCTTGAAGCCATTGATCATTTTACTTGCTTTCTAGGTTAGTTTATATTTTCGCAATTAGTTATAAATATTTTTTCAAAACCATTCTAACTATTTGGCTTAGCATAATAAGTGATAATTCTCTTACACTCGTAATCGCCTATTTCTCTGTGGGATTCGACCCCTACTCATAGTTGGGTATATTATATTGCTTGTGACCGTTTCCATTTACTTTTTAGTAGTGGATTTGGACGTCATCAAATTTGGCGCCATTGCCGGGGAACAATTTGGCGTATTTAGGTTGTTTGAGAAGTAAGCATACGTGCTTTAGTCCAAACTTGTGAATATTTGTGTAATTATTTTTTTTATCTTGCTTTATGTTCTTATTTGTTTCTTGTTTATTTACTTAGCTTTGAAAAATGGCATCGCATAATGAAAATTGGTCGGATGGTAGTTGTTCATACTTTGATGACATGTGTCCTTATTGTGGAGGACCACACTCTTGGCAAAATTATTTAAATTCTCCCGGGGGCGGATTGTGCGCACAATCTCAAACCCATGTGTGGAGTATTTTTGATAAGTGTGGTAGTCAAAATGGTCATTGCACTAATTATGCTTATTTGTCCTTCCCTTCCCCGAAACCCCACTATGATGATTCTACTTTTTGTGATGACAAGTATAGGGATATGAAAGTGGAAGAAATTGAGAGTTCAAGCTCATGGGGGAATGCCTACTTGAAGGAGGAAAAAAAGAGAAAAATGCCTTGCAGGAACTTTTAGAAAATAGTCTCCAAAATGATTCGACGCTTGAAAGGTTGAACTTACAAATGGGAGAAATGCTTGAAGCTTTAGAAGTCCAAAATGCCTCGAAAGTGAATGATAGCCAAAAACCTTAGAGATTGAAGCCGAAAATCCTTCCTTGGCACTTGATCAAAACCAAGAAGAACTCTCAAATGCTCAAAATGAAAGGATGATGCTCATGTTGGAGGCCATTCTTGAAAATGAGGAGAAGCACAACTTGGCACTCGAGCGCTTGAAACAAGTACTGACTCAAAATGATGAGAATATTCGCACTGTGGAAGATCAAATGAAAATATTAGTTGAGGCCCACTATGCCCACCAACTTGAGAGTGTGGAAAGAGGTCAAGAAGAGTCCAACTTCAACGAAGAAAGTGAGCTTTATTTTAAGGAATCAAGAATTGAACATCCGCCAACCGACTTCATACTTATTAATGATGCCAAAAAAAATATGGAATTAGAGTCAACCGGTGTATTTTACATACATATTTTTGGAATAAGATGGGAGCTTCTCCCTTTGAATTTCCCTCCTCCTCTCTGAATTTTCTTCTTCTTCAATTACTGTTCCATTGTTGGTGTCTCGTACCTTTTGGTATCACAATTCAACTTGATGCTTGTGTTATATAAAGACATTTAGTTTATAAAATATAATGTTCAATTGTCTTATTCAATATGAATATCAAGTATATGTTAAGTAGCCTCAAAACTCTCCCCAATCCTAGGTTCACTCCAAATATCCTTGGACATTTAAGGGAGATGAAAGTCCAATCGGGGGTTGAATCCAATAGGAAGGCATTAGCCTCTAATGAACCTTGGAGCATTCATGTTTGTATGTATGTACGTCTATGTATATATTTGATCTTAACTTACGTGATATGGTTTCTTTTAGAGTTAATACATCAAAATTCCCTCAAAAATTATACTCTTATAAATTTCACATCTAAACTATTGAGGATTTCTATTACTCCCCCTGAACTCCATTGTTCTCATACTAAAATACCCCTTGAAGTGTTAGGTGACAGAGAATATGGTTTCGGTCTTGATTTTTATGAGAATTGAAGTTTGGGAAAGAAAAAAAAACGTTAGAGCCGATCTTTAGTTTTACAGTGTTTTGTAATATTTTGTATAATTAGGATCTTTTTCTTTTTAAAATCAAGGAGGTAAAATTAGGGTAGTGGAGATTAATTCCACTGTGCAACCACATGGCAGATTTAATACGAGAATAATGCATTTCACTGAATATAGAAATTAACCCCCAATAGATTAGTATGTATTTCACTGAATTAGAGGGGTTTTGATATATTAACTCTTTCTTAATTATATGATATATAAATAGATAACTTGCTATATATCGTTGTATACTTGATTAAATAATTTTCATGTTGATTTGTGTAATCTTTTATGTATTATTACTGTGGGTGACTTTCCAACCCAACGCATCGCGCGATAAATATTGGTTATGTGTGTTCAATTTTTCTCTAATTGTTTGATAAAACTGTTGTGGTAGCAACAGAAAAACAGGAGTGCTAGCAACATAAATGCTAGAAACTGGAATACACAAGAAAATATTTTGTTATAAACAAGAGATTATTTAGATAGCACCAATGTTTTTGAGGCCAAGAACAACCCCAACACCAATAATGTGACCAACAACACCACAAGCCAAGGTGTCAGCGAGTGTAAATCCAGCAGGATCTCCAGTCTGGAGACCTGAGTCCCTAACCTCAAGCTTTAGCCCTGCTGTGGCTTTCCTGTTTGCTGATGGAGCCAACCCAAATCTACCAGCAAAGAGCATTAGGCTTGTTGATGTCACCATTATCTGTTCAACATACAAACACTTTGTTACAAAATCGTTCGCATTAACTCATGGTTTGGTTTCTTGCATCATTTATGTCTCCATAAAGAACGTCAATACTTACTATTTATGAGACTAAATTTACATAACATACTATTCGACTTAATTCTTATCACTAAATTTATCTCCTTAGAACTTTTATCTGCCTTCAATTTTACTCCAAAAAAGTCAATCAAAATCATGAGACGATGAAATTGAATAGTAATAAATAAACATATGCATGTACATATATCAACGTTGATCAATTTTTGTGCCTTTTAAGCTAAAATATTATTTAAAAGTAGAAAAATGTTGGATAAAAATTGTAATATTTAAGATTTTATCCCATATATAGGACTTTAGCCTACCGTTGTGAAATTAGAATAGTAAAACTAAATATACTACATTTAACCATGGTCATTTCAAAAAAATTCGGAAGTCCATAAATTCTATTTGGTAAAAATCTTGCACTAAGTTCTTTCTAACCACTACCCTATTTTGATTGCTCAACTCAATTCTACTTGGACAATAATACTGAAGAAGAAGCGAATTTGCATGGACTCCCAATTCCAGCTCTTTCCTTTCTGTTCTTCAAGTTCTAAGGCCCGTCATGCCAATCCCACATTGAAAAATAAAAAAATACTTCCAACACCAACTTATATCTATTAATAAATAAAAAACCTTTAATTGTTGGCACATTCCTTTTTACTTCTGTGACAGTGCACATCCGATCCTTTTTTGAGGTAATTTACCTTCATCCAGTGAATTCTCTCTCAAAGATTGATTTCATGTACTATTTCAAGAATAAACAACATAAGTTGATATAACGGATGGTTTTTGTTTAAATTATGCTATTATATACTATTATTTAGGAAAATATATGATTTACTCTATTTTGTTTTTGTATTTTTCACTTGCGTTTCTGCTGAGAAGGCGCTCAATTCAATACAAGCAATGTCAATTTATGTCATTAGAAGAATATTATAGGAATATGTACGTAGTAGAAGTTTTGTCAAATTGCTAATGCGATATGCTTTTCTCAGAAGAACTACATGCATAATAGAGACCATTCGATCTGTAGAGGAAGAGATTAAAATGCATTGGCCCCTTGAAACCTAAAATATGGAGGAAGGAACGTAACTGAGTCATTTCATGCATGCTGACCTACTAGTATACGTATTTTGATTATGTTTACATATCAAAGCAAGACCCAACAGATTTGTGGATACACACACTATGTATTTTGAGGGTTGACCCTTTTATGGAAGAAGTCACCATTCTGATAAAAGATAACTTATTCATCATTTTGCTATAAAGTAGCCCACTATGATTTTCACAGGATAGTCAGGTTTTCATTTTCTTTTAAAAAAGAAATTGCAAACGCAAAACTTTGAGTTTCTTTGATACGACTACTTTATTCTTTTTGAGTTTTCTTTTTTATATCTCAGTTATAAAGTCTCTCACAATATAATTGCAATAGTTATTTACCAAATTTGTGGGCGAGCCAATAAAATCACAGCGAGCACCCAGAGCACCTTGCCCTCTACTCCTCATGGGTTGAACGGCCACCTGCACCCAGTGAAAGATGATTGTTACAACTATATAAATTCATATGTTTTCAATGTCTTAACAATTTGAAAATGGTAAAATCCATAAATAGTGAATAATTTTATTTTAAAGATATCTGATATTACTCATAGAAAAGAAAAACAAAATACAAGACGTTAATCATAAAATAATTTCAGCTACTTCGAAATCAAGTCAAATGTATCAAAGTAAGCAAAAATTATAAACGGGAAAGATGAAAAAAAAGTAAAAATAACACCTAAGTAAATGTAAAACAGACATAAATGGAGGAACTGACCAAGCCCTGAATAGGGGAAGTAGAGAAGGTGTTGGTTTTGAGTCCATTGAACTGTGGAAGAAAAGTTAAGATGGTGGCAGCCATTTTTGCAGCAACTCAACTTTTTTCTCTTCTTTTTTTTTAGTTTAATTGCCTTTTGACAAAATTGTTTGTATAAATCTGTTGGGGTTCGAAACAAGTTTCTGTGACATAGGCCCATTACCCAAAGCAAGGAGTTTGTGGCCTCAGAATGGGCTGTTTTAGATACACTTGGATACTTGTTTGCTGAAGTGGCAATCTTATATTGGCTGAAGTGGATAAGATTTAGATGTTTGATAAATTCAGCTAAGATTACTTGAAATGATGTGCTATAATTAGGTACGATATTTAAAAATTTCGGTTTGATACTTCAATATTCGGTATATTAATTGTGTATATCAAATACCGTACCAAAGTAATTCAATACGATTTGATATTTTTTAGTTTGGTTCGATACAGTTTTGATACGGTTCGATAAATTGCTGTTAGTTTTATTTGCCGGAGGAGTTCTAACAATAGTTCATCGAGATAACCCAAATCCATGAGGTAACGATATTGGTTTGTCAACAACGAACTTGAAGGAATGACGTTTTCATCTATTCCGCTGAATCTATCTTCAAATGCCAAATATTAGTACTGTACTTAATCCATATTTATGGTAATCACTAATAGTTCCTTTAGCCTGAAAAGCTCCGTCCTTGAAAACCAAATGCCAAATTTTTGCTCTAACTGAGAATCCGCAGTAGAGCAACAAAGGACAGAGGAACCAAAGAATCTAAAACAAAAATAAAAAGAGGAACTTTTCAAATATTATTTAGTTCCATAACCAAATAAATGAAGATATCAAATACATGGAAATATTTATTTTGTAAAATTGGTATACATATCTGATTGCAAGTCAAAAGTCAAAGATTTGGGCTTATAGACTTTAGGGGTTGGACAGTTGGACTTGGGTTGGGAAATGAAGAACTGGGCTAGGCTTACTGGCTTACTAATGCAATTATTTATAGCATTACAAAATATATGTGCCTTATTTTATACTGCAAGTTTAAAAGTCTTCTCTCTTTTTTTAAACTCCGTGCCCAGTCAAATGGGTTCACATAAATTGAAACAAAAGGAGTATTATTTCGTAAACTTGGTATACATATCTGATTGCAAGTCAAAAGTAGAAGATTTGGGCTTATAGACTTTAGGGGTTGGACAGTTGGACTTGGGTTGGGAAATGGAGAACTGGGCTAGGCTTACTGGCTTACTAATGCAATGATTTATAATCACACAAAATATATGTGTTTCATTTATATCACAAGTTTAAAAGTCTTCTCTCTTTTCTTAAAGTTCGTGACCAGTCAAATGAATTCATATAAATTGAAACGGAGGGAGTATTATTTTGTAAACTTGTTATACATATGTGATTGCAAGTCAAAAGTCGAAGATTTTAGCTTATAGACTTTAGGGGTTGGACAGTTGGACTTGGGTCGGGAAATGGAGAATTGGGCTAGGCTTACTAGCTTACTAAAATATTTCGGTATTTCGATTTACTAAAGTATCAAAAGTTCAATATCGAGAACTGTATCGAAGTACCGAACTTTTGAAATATTTATACCGAATTCGTACCGAAGAAACGATATCGAAATACCGAATTAATTCGGTCCAGTCCGATTTTTTGATTTTTTCGAATTTTATGCCCACCCTTAGCTATAACCGCATTTTGCAAAATTCTTCATGTATTTTCCGAANATATATATATATATATATAGTTGTATTTACATACCTATATAAGCGATGTATTTATTGGGAAAAAAATTAGTTCAATGGAATAAAATCAAGCAAGATAATTAATGAAAAATACGAAACATGTAGGCAAGGTATCTCCAGGAAATTATCTTTAAGATGACATTATTTTCCTATTAATAATTTGCACTCTAAAAATCAAAGTTGCACTAAAAATCAAAGTTTCACTTTAAGATGGCATTACTTACTTTAAAAATCAAAGTTGCACTCTTTGATTTCTTCTAACACAAGAAGTCAACTCAATAGAAAGAATGAAATTCTGAGAGGAGATGTTGAACGAGAAAAATGGTTGAGTGACTAAGAACAATGCTTGTTTCTTTTGAATTGGTAGAGAGATGTTATTAGAACGAATGCTTCATACGTTGACAAATAAAGAAAGCACACTTTAATAAATGAGGGCATTACTTAAGCCAACGGTTGAAACAATAACCGAAAGAACACTTTTGAAAAGCCACCTACTAATATGAAGCCACACAACCCTTCAAATTATCTTCCTACTATTTAAATTTTATTATTAAATGATATTTATATATTATTATATATATTCAACAATCCTCCACTTATTATTTAATTAGTTTTAGCGTAAGCGTTTTGCGCGTGTAATTTTGCGTTTATCAATAATGTATTTAGAATATTTACGTAATTATAAATAATATCAATCTGTTAATAGAAAAGAAATATTAAAATTGATGAAATACTACGGAACAACGTTATAGTTTATTATTTTTATAAAAAAACCTGTATAAGTATTTGCAATAATTAATACGGGATATATCTGCAATGCATCTATAATGAGATTTGTAATGACCCGACCGGTCGTTTTGAGAGTTAGAGCCCGAATCCCTATTAACTACTTTTCCCAAATCTATTTCTGCTATTGTGACTTGTCTGGATGATTGATTTTGAGTTTCGGAGTATTTTGGGACACTTAGTCCCTAAATGAGAGCTTAAGTATTAAAATTTGGACCGTAGTCGGAACTGTGTGAAGACATTTCCGAAATGGAATTCTGTTGATTCTGTTAGCTCCGTTGGGTGATTTTGGGCTTAGGGGCGTGTCCGGAATGTGTTTTGGGGGCCCGTAGCTCATTTAGGTTTGAAATGGCGAAAGTCAAATTTTTTGAGATTTGGACCGCTAGTGGAAATTTTGATATTGGGGTCGGATTCCGATTTCGGAAGTTGGAGTAGATCCGTAATGTTGAATATGACTTGTGTGCAAAATTTGAGGTCATTGGAACGTGGTTTGATAGGTTTCGGCATCGGTTGTAGGAATTTAAAGTTTCAAGTTCTTTAAGTTTGAATTGGAGGGTGATTCGTGATTTTAGCATTAGTTGATGTGATTTGTGGGCTCGACTAAGTTCGTATGGTATTTTAATATTGGTTGGTATGTTTGGTTGAGGTCCTGGGGGCCTCGGGTGAGTTTCAAATGCTTAACGGATCAAAAGTTGTATTTGAGTTGCTGCTGAACTCTTCAGGCATCTGTCATTTTCGCACCTGCGGTGGAGAGACCGCAGGTGCATGATCGCACGTGCGGAGAGGCAAGCGCAGAAGCGAAAAAATGGAGGAGTGCCAGGAGTCGCAGGTGCGAGGTGAATTTCGCATCTGCGATGCCCGCAGATGCGTTAGGGTCATCGCAGGTGCGTAAGGTCCGCAGAAACGGAAGGGATTTCCGCAGGTGCGGCCCTTTCTTCACAGGTGCGAAGGTAGAGGGGGTAAGTGATTTGCGCATATGCGCACATTTTTGCCGCACAAGCGCACCCACAGGTGCGAGCCTAGGCTCCGCAGGTGCGGAAATACCTGGGCAGTGGTTAAAATCGAAGAGCTTCGCGATTTTTATCATTTTTGGACTTTGCAACTTGGTTTAGGGCGATATTTGAGAGCATTTTCAAGAGATTTCTTAAGGTAAGTACCTTGTGTTTATTTTTTATCAATAATCTTGCTTTTCCATGTATTTTTCCACCTAGTTAGTATGTATTTAAGGTGAAAATTGGGAATTTGAGGCTAGGGATTTGGAAGTTTGATTTGTGGATTTGGAGGACCATTTGGTGTTGGATTTTAGTAAATTTGATATGGTTAGACTCATGAGTGAATGGACTTTCGTATTTTATGACTTTTACCCGATTCCGAGACATGGTCCCCACAAGCGACTTTTGAGTTAATTTCGGAATTTTCGTTAAAATGTTGATTTCGTTAATTAGATGAGTCTATTATTGTTGTATTTATGATATGTAATTGATTTTGGCTAGATTTGGGCCATTCGGAGCCGGATATTCGTGGGAAAGGCATTGTGACCGATTGATTGAGCTTGGTTCGATGTAGGTGGTTTGTCTAACTTTGTGTGGGGGAAATCCTCTTAAGATTTGGAACTATTGTATTATGTGAGCGTCGTGTACGTGAGGTGACGAGTATGTACACGGGCTAGTTTTGGTAAAACCCGATTTTTCTTACCGAGCAGCAACATGTTTTCCTGTTATTTTGAGTTATACCATTTTAATGAGTACTAATCTATTTTCATTCTTAATTAAGTTATTCCAATATGTGTAGCCATCATGTTTAGTCTAATACATCATGTCTACGTGTCTTAATTTTTTATGTGAATTATGTCAGCATGATTAGTGAATTTCCTGCTTCTTCCCTGACTGGTACTTGTCTAAATTGTAAGCATTTCGTGATGTAGTTGTATTTCTATCATTCGCGCTGCATATTTACTTTGGAACTACGGAATGGTATTCTCGGAGATCCCCCTGTATTGCATATTTACTTTGGGACTACGGAACGGTATTCCGGGAGATCCCCTTGCACATTTACTTTGGGACTACAGAACGGTATTCCGGGAGATCCACTTGTATATTTACGTTTGGGACTACGAGACGGTATCTCGGGAGATTCCCTGTTGTATTTCTGTGTACTGAGCTGTTACCTTCTATGATTTCATTGTTGTTAAATTTCAATCTTTATTTTATTGCGGTATTACACTCTATATTGTTTTATTATATATTTACCAGTAGGGCCCTGACCTGACCTCGTCACTACTCGACCGAGGTTAGGCTTGGCACTTACTGGGTATCGATTGTGGTGTACTCATGCTACTCTCTGTACATGTTTTTTGTGTGCAGATCCAGGTGCTCCTTATCATCCGCACTATCAGTGAGCCGGGACAGCTTTGGAGACTTTAAGGTAAAATATGCCGCGTCCGCAGATCTTGGAGTCCCCTTCTACTCTTTCTCATGTCCATTATCTTATGTATTTTTCCTTGTTAGACTCTGATGTATAGAGACACTAGATTTTTCCTTCTGTAGTTTGTGATTCACGATATTCTGGGTTTTGGGATTTGTTGTGTATTTTTGAATAGTTAGTTAAATTTTATATTTTTATTTTATTATTCT